TAAAATTTCTGTACTCGACACAGTGACGAATTAATGTTCGGGGAATCTCCTTGCAACGTTTCTCCAGCGTACTCGAGTACGTGTTAAAATTTAATTGTATTGTATTTTGTGCTTATAGACATTCTCTGCGTATTCGTATCGAAATGACAAATGTTTCCATTATAATTGTTCGAAGAGTGTAAAAAGTAGTAGAATATGTGAAATAGATTAGACAACGTTACAATATATGTATGTATGTATTTATGTATATATGTATTTATGTATGTATGTAAGTATGCATGTATTTATGTATATATGTAAGTATGTATGTATGTATGTATGTATGTATGTTTTAGCTTGAACGATAAAGGTGAGGAGCATAGAAACAGTATAACAAAATATATGAAATATTTATAAAACAGCTGCTTCCATTGGCATTTGTGAAAACATGCGATCGTGATCACAAGTATTACTTCGTTCTCCGTGTTCTACGATGACGTCTACTTAATTGATTATTGGTCTCCGTTTAAATAATAATATTCGTTCAATATCATGATCGTTAAGTGGTCACTAATATCGCGCGATGTCTCGCGTTCTTCAAAATGAGCTGTTTTTACGCATGATCCTCGCCACGGGATGGGACTTTCACAAATATCCGATGGAAGATGAACAAATACAATTGTCGTGCATGGCCAAAGCCGTGCCTTATCACATATTTCCGATAGCGACGTATGTATACTATTTACATGAAATCCGTTCAAGAATTACTTACAGTGGGATATACACTCGCGCGGTTACATCGTACTATCATACATTAATTTCGAATTGATCGGTCAATCTCCCTATACATACGACAGTATTGTATTATCTACCTTGAAATCAACGGTTTTGAATGCAACAAGTACACGTTCGAAGAAAACTTTACGGCTACTTTACAGTAACTATTACATATGTATTTTAATTTGGACGTCGGTGGATGCATCGAAATCTCGTGTGCATATTATTGCTACGCTAAAGTTTAAAGTTCCCTTCCTTCGGTACCATTTTTTTAAAGTCTTCCCGTTTCAGAGAGGACTGTGATATGAAACGTTTCACGTTTTTTCCCCCCTCCGCCCCCATCTTCTTGCCATCCCCTTCTCATCTGTTCGTCCGTTAACCCCCGAGAACGGTGCGAATCTTCTCGAACGCATTTCGCTGATCCGCGTACAGCAAATTCGCCGCAAAAGAAGACGATTAAGTATACACCGGTTTGGATAACACGTCGCGATATAACTCGAACGGAATCGTCTCGCTAACTAGATTTAATTAATCACAGCAACACGTACATACATGGAATGATACAAGCGAAGTTCTTCCGAAGAAAAATAGGTTCCCAATGCGTATTTACATCGATATTCGAATTCCAAGTATTTATTCACATCGGAACGGGTCGGTGATAAAAAACGGGTTCCATATAAAAACGACCGTAACGTCGATCGTCGGTTAGGTAAAATCAGTTAGTCGTGAAAAAAGTCGCGCGAACAGCTTGTCGCGTTCTAAATTCGAATTCTTGATTGTACACGTGCCTGAGTATAGAGATTATTCGGATCAGACAGCAAGGTATCGAATGTATAAGTTCGAACGTATCGAAGGAGCAAAGGCATTCTCGTTTTTTTTCATCGAAATCATTACAGTTTGTACGAACGTTTCGTAAAATAAGGGATTAGTATTATACGAGGAGAGAGTCTCTGTCGCGGCGACTCGCGCATCGCGATTAAACAATGTTAACGAGGGAGTAATTTTGACCACGCCCTCGCCTGCGACCATCGAACGAATGAGAATATGGCTGCCTCTGTTTCGTAGAAAATTGGTAGACCTTAGAGATTCCACGACGTCGAACTACGTATTAGTACACGCCTGATAAAACGCGTCGGTTAGCTGATTTCGCGTCTCGTTGCTGCTTCAATGGCCGTTCGCTGTGCATGTATCTCGCGTTTCTATTTCGGTGTCCGTGCGGTAAAGCCACGCGTGCCCCTCGCTTCGCGATCCTCTGATATGTTTGCCGAATGTGTTCATTTGTCGAACGGATCGAACTTTAACGATCGCGATTCCGGTAGACCGCGTACGGTATTCATCCCTTGATAGAAGGACACGTTCTCGGCGTCGCCGGCGCTAAATCTGTGCGATTTGTTCTCCGGATCCCACGTGGAATTCGTTCGTCTATATGAACGGGGAGGAATGTGTCGAGTTCCGTGACCGTTGCCGAAAACGTAATTTTCGTTTCCTGCAATAGATCCTCGTGTACCCATGCGCTTATATACCTATGCATATATGTACCTTATCGCGCGACACGATCGGAACCGTAACTTTCTGACCGTTCACCGAGAATTTGCCTCGCAACGCTTACCTTGCGACGGTGTCGGCGAATGTGGCGGTGTGCCAGCAACAGGCGATAGGGGTTCGTACGGTGGCGGCGGCGGTGAGGACGGCGAGGGTGTAGGCGAGGGTGGCGGTCTCGAAAGAACGTCTGGATCGAGCTCGAGAATCCTCAGAACTCGTTGGGGATTCGTCCTCACCCAGGATTCGAAGAGTTCTGCAGGCCAGTCGGCGGTTTGCGTTGATCCGTCGCTCATCCACGTAACGGAGGGGTTCCAACACACGGCATCCGGCGGATGGGACGAGCTTCTCGCTAAAACTCCGCTCCCGCGAGCCGCGGGCATCGGCAAGTTGGGATTGCTCTGCGGCGAGTACGCTAGATTTTGTAGGGCTTGGATCGCGTTCTTCACCTGCTCGCATCGAATCGATTATACTTAACCGTGTAAACACCAATGAATAGACGTCGTCTCGTACGTCTCGCGCGAACGTACCTCGGAACTTAAAGTAACCACATCCTGATGCAAAGTGGAAACCTGCGAATCGAGTCTCTCCACCGACCCTCTGATATGTTCTTCCATCGATTCTTGGGCGATCACCTGAGCCGCTCTGCTTCTCGCCAGGACACCTCTGCCTGGTCTCCTTCCGTCGCGATACTCTTCTCTGTTTCGTAGGATATATAATGGAAATACTCAAGGTATTCCGCGGTAGGAAGAAATACGGTTTACGTACCTAAACTTGGCGTGCCGTGGACTCGAAGATGTATGTAAGGGTGATTTGTTCGGCGGTGATAAGGGCGAAGTTTCCCCTTCGTCGGGTACGTTCTCATCGTCCTCGCTGATCGATGGTAGGGTCAGAGAGGGTCCGTTCATATCCGATTCTTGCTACAAAAGTTTTGAACGGGAAAGGGTGCCAGAACAATTTCGCCCTCTCATTCCACCTGTCTTCTGTCGCGACAAGGAAGTAACTTACCTCAGCCTCGTATCCCTCCCGTATGTTGTACGTAAGGTCGTGCTGTATGTCGTGCGCAAATTCGTGCTGATACTCCGGGTACAGACGCAAAACTTCGACCAAGCCCTGCATGTGTATGCATTTTAGATCGCAATAAGTTAGCGCTTTCACGTCGCAGCTCGATTTGACCACAACGTCCGCGGAACCGGAACCACCTGTTCCACCCCCGTTACTACCGTGATGCAGATGCACGTTTATGTCGCAACCCACCAAGTCACCTTTTCCTTCAAAGGGAATTAAATGCCGTTTAGAATCGGAACTCCGAGTCTATTGGTTTCAGAATGAAGGGGACCGACCAGGCTCGGCTACCGTACCTAAAATCGCAACGACCATGTCGTTCTGCACGACTTCCATGGAGCCGTTGCACAAATAATAAATATAAGAGAGCGCGTCCCCTTTGTGGACCAGATATTCGCCGGGAGCGCAGAAGTTATTCCTAATACGCAGGGAGAGCAGTTTCAGACAGCCCTGCGAGGCGGTCTCGAATATCGGTAAATTCAAAATCTCGCGATGCAAATGCATCGAAACGTCTCCTCTGAGTTCCTCAGGGAATTGTTCGAGGGTCTAAAAGGATTAACATACGTTTCGTCTCATTACACCGCGCATTAAATCTGGCATACAACGACGATTACGTGTTATACGCCGGGCTCAGCGTTGTCGTAACGCGTCGCATAATTATTCCATTATAGATAGTATACCCAGTCACAGTATATACCTCGTGTACATCGATACCATGGTTCAGGGACCACATGGTCTGGAAATAGTCTTGCATTCGCTGTTTCAGTTCTTCGGGGATCTGATGCAATATGAAAAAATCCTTGAGATCCCGCAATTTTGTCTGATACAGCGATCTCCTAGAGTAAATTCTTTGAATGATCGCCGTCACGTTACCGAACACCACAGCATGCATCAGAGCTGTAGCATACACGATATGTACAGTGTGGAAATATTCCCTATTGTAAATTGATGACAAACTTTATTCCGTATTAATCGACACCGTATTACGACGTTCATTAACGCGACGAGCACGCGACGTACACGCGAATTCTTAGCGCGTAGGCAGGCAAGCTTATTGTTAGGTCGGGTACGACTGAGTATCCAATAATTTATGGATAATCCTAGCGGATTAACGCGCCCTATACCGATCGATGATGATTTAGTACTAACCGCCAACAAGCATCGCGCAAATGGAGAATAACTTTTCGGAGAACGTGTTCGCCGACACGTTGCCAAATCCCACCGACGTTAAGCTGCTACAAGTGAAATATAATGCTGTGATGTAACTTTCCGCGTGAGTTACATTTTGCACGGAAATCTTTAGCCTCTCAGCGAGCGTGTGAATCCAACCTGAAAAATTCATTCGATTAGAATTCTTCGCGTTCGCGCCGGTCGACGTTGTTCCATCGAAGGGAATCGAAAAAATTCAATTGATCCCGGCGCGGTGTAACACGCTTTAAAATATGATGCGAATGTCGGTCACAAGTGTGCCGACGTCGATAAAATCTATTCGATCGCGTTCAAGAGGGATGCACGAACGTGTGCACTCTTAAGGTGGATAGCAGATTGAATCTCTGCGGAGCTTGCCAACGGATGTCTGAGGGAAAAGCTGCAGACTTTTATAGGTAGATGCTTAGACGTTCGGCGATCGGTAATCAGGTTCGTATTTGTTACGGGGCTCGTTTCTCCGTGACATTAATTCCACCGGGCAGATTAACGGGTAACACGAGTATCGCGAGTACTATCGGGCGTTCGATAAAAACGGGGTACGATTTCCCTCCGTCGTAAAAGAGAAAAGTTTTTCTTGGCATAACAGACTTCCGCGGATATACGATACATATGTACGATATATACATACGTATCTATATACAGGTGTAGCTGTAACTTACTGGCGTGCAGCGGAGCGGTTTCCACGCGCGATTCGAGCCCCTCCGAAGACAAGTTCTTCGAAATAATACTCCCGAGACCAATCTGTATATCTAAGCATGTACATATTACATATAGATAGGTGCTCCGGAACACGTGGCAAATCCCAGAACGACTAGGTAACCCCGTCGCGTGGAACGTTCGCCTGTCCGTGGACAGTGACCGCCAGTTATTTTCAACTGGGCGACCCTCAAGTTCAAGGCGCGACCTATGGAGTCGGATTTTAGTAAAATTCGTCGAACTTACCGAGATCCCAGTCACTGTCGTTTTTCAGTCTTTCTTTTTCCGCGATTACGAACCAAACGCAGGCCATCCAATGTGCCAACAGGATAAAAAGGAGCATTAACATTGTCAAAATTACGGCGCTATATTGCGAATATCTATCCATCTTTTGAAGCAACCGCGCAAGCCTTAGCAATCTTGTTAACTTTACTAAATGTATGTTACCATGTCCCGATTCCTATGATAAAAATCTGCTGTTAATATCGTGATCTCCCGTGGCGTACGCTGGTATCGGTCCGCCCGGCAAATAACGCGAATCATTCGGAGGTTGCACGCGGGCGACGAGAATTTCCGCGTCAAATATCTCGAATATCCGATTCAACGGGCCCGTAGGTTAATTACGAATTCTGAAGCATCACGAACTTCGGACGACCGGATAATTGTATCATTCACCGTCGAGATACGTTGCTCCGTATTGAAAGTGAGATCGCGTACTAGTAGAAACGCGACGCAAAGAATCGGCAGGTCGTTTAACGTAATAATACATCGTCCTACGGTAAACGAACTCTATTCACGACTCATCTCTTGGTGTCGTGCAGACACGGCATTCCGTGCACACGTCTTTTCTTTGATTCCGCGACGACGGCGACGTCGGGATTTTTTTCGTCCACGGAAGAGACCGTATCTAATCGTGGTAAAAATTCGATAAAGCAACTAGGCGGAAACTCGAGACTCGCGACCGGACAATCGATTCGATTAGCTGTTTCTAATTGGAAAGTTTTATCGGATTCGAGATTCGATCGAGTAACGCGAACACGCGGCTATAGTCTCGCGTCTTGCAACGTATCGAACGCTCGCCGACCAAACTCCCAGCGGTTATCTATTACATTATGTACATATAATGGTATAACAAGTGAAAACTCACCTCGCCACTGTACACGTCCGAGGCGTAAAGGAAATCAAAGGGTAAAGCTGCGACTAGATCGACGATAAACCAACCCTTCACATAGTTGACCGCTATACTTTTACTGTTGCTGACCACTTCTCCCTTCCTGCTTACGTACGTCGTACGAAAGTTCAGAACGATATCTGTGGAAAGGTAGAAACACGTTGCTACGTTCCCCTGTTTTTGTCCGGCGACGTTCCCGTTCCGGTTTCCCGATAATTGCCGCGTTAAACGATAATTCCAATGTTAAATGAAAATCGACGCGCGCCGTAATAGCTGAGTCAACGAGCAAATAGAAACGTTCTAACTGAAAACACTCGACTCGGTCGTGGATCAAAGGGGCAAAGCAACTCTACGGTTATACCTGCTACTTGCCCTTCCGAGTTTCGCAACACAGGGAAATGCATCGCGTTCAGAAACTTCATCTTCGTGCGAGGACGAACTGCTTTTAATCCCGTTTGCGAGTCGGATTTCCGCCGCAAAATTCCTGCCCGCGTCCCGTCGAGTTCGCGCACGCAACGGACAGCCCGTCTAGTTTCGCGATGGAAGTTATTGCGACGAGTGCTAGGATGCCGAGCGGAAACAAGTTTAGCGACAAGATTGGAACGACGGCATCTTTTCGCGCGCGCCGTCCTTTTCTTCCGCGTTCTTTTCACCCTTCCGTCTCGCGCGCGAATCAAATTCCACGATTTACGTTCTCAAAAAGACAGGGTCTCGTCGAACACCTTTGAAGAGTTCTTCCTCGGAAGATCGTTATTCGATATTCAACGCGAATTAGTTAACCGAAGTAGTTGCGGAGCGAGTCTATCGGAGGTGATTCGAGGAGTTCGGTTCCGGTTTCATTCGTATTACTAATTTGAAACGGTATCGATACGTTCGGCGCTGCAGCACCGTCGTGTTCTTTGTCGTCTGTTTCCACGCCGAGAAATAAAGAAATGTATCGACGATGAAGCGAGAACTGGGTTGTGTTCGCGTCCAGGGGAAACCTCTTCCGCAGTGCTTCGATGACAACGGGGCGGAGAGGAGGTTGGGATCGGAATTGGGGGAGAGTCGTTGCTTTCGGACTTAACGAGCTCCTCGAATCACCGATTGGATAAAAAGAGCACCCTTCTCGATCTGTCTCAGCTGAATTATTCTAAAAGCGTACCGATCGATACGCTCCGAATTCTAGATTTCATTATTTTAGGCCTCTCCGGAAACCCCGCGGTTCGAACGGTCATTCGCACGACGCGAAGTGCTCCGCATCTTGCGTAACAGAACCTTGAAATCCAGTCGGAGATAGAATACCCACCGATTATGAAGAGGGCCTCGACGACGACATCGCTGACCATCGTAGGCCTATCGGTGTTAATGAAACTAGCGTTAAACGGGACCACTATGGCCACGTAAAAGGTCGCGAGTAGTATCAGCCAATCCCAGCAAGACTTGAACCCGCCGTAGTGACTCAAGATGAATTGAGATTTTTTAATGACCGTCGTTTTGTATTCCGGCAGCGGTGCGTCGGTAGGGTTCAGGAGATTCTAGAATGATACGGAGTGTTCGAGGAAAGCGGACGAAAAGTTCTGAACGACGCCGTTACTCGTGGGAACGAATCACTTACACTGTTCAACTTATGTTTGTGCTTATTGTCCTGCTTATAATGGCCCGACAGTTGATAGAGTATGGCGCGACTCCTTCTCCGGCCGTAATTAGCCGGCGGTGCCTCTGGATCGAGACCGCCATTTGCATCTGAAATGCAATTGTACCATTGCCGTAGACTTCGCACCGAACCAACGGACTTTTCGTTAATATATTCTATATACATCGTTGCTCGGAAATGAACAATTAAACGCAAGCATCATCGCCTGATGGATGCTCGTTCACGTAGTCGAATATACGTTTTCCATCTTGCGCACAGAACGAAAACTACATGCCAGTAGGTGTACGGGTATATACGGAGGTTGCATATATATCGTTGATCCGAACGAAATATTCACGTAGCTTTTCTATCTCGATCTCATGTGAAACTAACACGTGCAACGCGACTGCAATGTGTAAATTCTACAAGAAAAGCAAACTATTCGTGACTGTTGGCTGGCTCGATTTCTTGCTCTTTGGTGTTTCGCTTTGAAGAATAGTGTGTGTTGCATTACGTGTCACGTGCAGCGTGTTTGCGTGAACGCGGTGTAAAAAGCACGAAACGTTTCGGTACGCCGGGAAGAAGAGTATGTACAATAGTTTGGGAACGTTTAATCCATACCCGATCTACGGGTCCGTGATCTCGGACATTTTGGAATGCAATTCATCAGTCGCGTCGATCGAAATGCATTCCAGAGAAAATCGTTTCGTCGGTTCGTGTTCAGCGGCGAAGCATGGCTAGGACTCACCACTATCGAGCAACTCACTCTCACTCGACTGATGGTTCTTCCTGTCGGTGTTATCTTTGTGCGAGGCCAGAAACAGTACGACGTCGCCCTTTTCGTTTTTGATCGGGACAATGTCGACCAAGCAATCGAATGTAGTTCCTGGGGATTAAAGTCAGGTTCAGGCGAAATCTCGTTACCGTTCGCGTATGGAACGTATAAAAATGAACGGTACGGAGCGGAAAGTAAAATAGCGGCTATCAGGGGCGCAGCTGTTACGGGGATTTTTCCCGGGGAGAGAGGAATTCCGAGCTCAAAGTGTGCCATTTTAAACGATAAATCATGGATTCTACAGTTATGGCATCGTAAGTGGAAAAATTCATTTCAGCGACAAAACGAGCTACCTCGGAGAAACATATTTTTAAAAGCTACGCTCCGGCAACAGCATCGGGAACGGTTAAAGTTGCTACACGTGAACATGAATTAAAGATCAATACGTTCTACTGTTCGTAATTGCCTGCCTCCGGCTCGTAGTGACGGATCGAAGGTACGAGCTCCGCTCTGCACGTACAGGCGAATCTTTTGAACGGAATGAACTCGGGAACCCGGGAAACTTCCGGGTGCACCATACTTTTCCTAGCCCGAATAGACCCGCGAGACGAATCGCGGCATCCGGATCTCCTCGGGTCCCAGACCGCAAAAGTCCTAGTCGCGCGATACTTACCGTTCTTCTTGTAAAACACGACGTCGGTCTTCAGCTCCGTCTTGCTCTCGAGGCTCTTCTCGATCATCGCCCTTTTTTCTTCCTTCGTTTCCGGGCCATAAAGGAATTTGCAAGCGCAACCTTTCTGCATGATCTGCGCTCGCGCGAATCCTGTCAGCTCGCAGAATCCGTCGGAGCAATAAACGATCGGGTAGAGAGCCGGAACCTGCGCATTTCCCAGCACAAAGTTGCTGTCTGCGACAGAAAGAAATAAATCAAGAAAGGGAGGAACGCTTGATTACAGGGGAAAAACGCTTGAAATGCGACTGTTGCCCGTAAATAGATGTAGATACCGCTATTTCTCCCCCCGAAATCTCCTGTGTCGTTTTCGCATGCCGCGGTCGGAGGCTTTACAAAGTGATTGCGCGTTGGTACGGTTACCTTTCAATTATTTCGTGTCACGGTGATTTCGACACACGAGGATTGAATCGAACCGACGCAACGGCTGCGTCCAAAGAGCAATCAGAAGAGAAGCGCCGGGCTGCGATTAAACTTTTAACTCCATGGAACCTGTCCGCTCGGTTCGATTTGGTTCCGCTCGGTTTTCGTCGTTACAAAGAGACTTTGTATGAACTTGGGTCGGCGCGAGGCTGAATTTCGCGTCGCACTGCCAGAAGGGAACGAACGGTCGATTAAAACGCTGTGTCCGACGCCTCGCAGGCAGGCACCCTACGTTTCTTTTAAATGAGAGTCGTGTCGGGTAAACAAGATTTTGATGATTACATGCGTGACACGCGTGATGCAAGGAACCGTTGCATGACTGCACCTTGCGCTGTACAGTTCATTGGTTGACAGCTTTGTCAACGTCTCTGACGTCACGCGTAATCTCTTTCAGGGTAACGTCGGCACTATTTTTAATTCAACGCTTACCCCTGAAACACTTTCATCTTCTCGCTCAGCCGCCTTGCGCAATCTCGGCTCCCTACGCTTCCTGTTCTTCGAAAGAAGGCTGCATCGTTCCCGTCACACACACACACACACACACACACACACACACACACACACGTGCGGCTACACGTGTGCGCGTGTCAAAGAGATTTCGTTAAACATTAGTTCCCGCGAGTCACAGCAATTTCCACGACACCCGGAGAGCACCGATTTCGTCTAAACGCGCTCCTTTCTCCTGCTTTTCCTGGAAATAAGTGCGCGACGGAAGTTCCCTTTTCGGTGGCTGAGCATATCCAAACAATGCCGCGTAACTTTTTTGTGTCACGGTGACTAGCGACGGCGAGGTCACCCTTTATGCGCCGCGGAAAATAATAAGTTCGGCGACGAAAGGTTTCAAGATAAAAATACAATATAATTAAAGCTGAACCGCGTGAACATTGTTCGACGCGTTTTAAATGCCAAGCCGAGCCGAGTTCGCGCGGCCCCGCTATTGGAAAACTTGCTGGTAATTTCAATCCAAATCGAATTGATTGAGTTTCAGTGGCGGGTTGCAGAGTTAGCGCAGGAAGAATTCAGAGAGATTACAATTAGTCGTTTATTAGAAAATCTCGGTTACGGTCGGATAAAGCGCGGTTGTCGGCCATGGACACGCGATACTTTCAGTTTAATTGAATTTTATTTCGTGACACACAGGATTTTAACGTAACGCGGCGTTCCCTCTTCGATTAAAGTGACCGTTCCGAACAATCGCTCCCCTTTGTTGTCGTTGCGCGTACTTACGTACCTTTCCGAATATTCGATTAACGCGCGAATCATCGTTCGATTATCCCACCGATTGTGCTATGTACGCGTGCACGGAGCCAGTGGCATGTTTAAACCCGTGGTCACGACAACGAGAGCGTTTACGATCACCGCATCAGCCGCTAAAAGCGGTGTAAACGCTACAGTTTCGGCGGAGTCCCTGAGCAAAGACTAATGGAGCCGATTGTGCCGTATATCGAATCCCGCGTACGCGTCGAACGCGCACCGACGCCGGAAAATTTGCTTAACCGGAAAACCGCGGTACCGGTTCTTTCAAGAACTTTTCATTCGAGAAGTTAACTAGGCGACGGGAACCCTGAAACTTTGTCGGATATAAAGCGTAAATGCTTAAACAATCGCCGCTGGTAGTCTTGTGAATTTATAGGCGGAAACGGCTAATAAAATGTGCACGCGAAACAGCGTAAATAATTAAACGGGACCGGTAAAGATGGCTGTAGCTCGCGAAAAGCGCATCTCACGCTAATACGACCGGCTTTAGCTACGCACGGCGGAAAATTTTCACGAGAGCGTATAAAGGGGATGAAAGATAGTCTCGTCGCATATTTGACCGGAAGCGTGTTTCATTATTCCTTTACTCGCGAGCGCAGCAGCTTTTTATCGGCGCGGATTGTATCGAAGCTCGAAGATACGAATTCTGTGCGGTCGTAGTATCGACGGGAATATCGTAATTTTAGAATTTTAAATAATTTCGCGACCAACTCCGTACCTGCGATTTCCTTCTGCGTCTGGCTTTCCCGGAAACCTGTAAAACCGATCTCGAAGTAATTCGATAAAATTCAACCGTAAGCTAGTCGCGAGCAATTATCGGATATTTTCGGAGTTGCAACCGTGCCCGAAGAGGGCAGGCGCGTTTCCACGTTTTCAGGTGGTTAATTGAAAAACGATATCCCACGTCATACGTTCCTAGTCATATTTCTCGGTGACCACAAAATAATTAAGTGGATATAACGGTTGTGTTGATGCAGCTATTGTGGTTAACGCGGCCGAATTTACGTCCTGCTAGAGGCGTTCGATAATTATATACCGTAGATACGATCCGTATGCGCCGCGCGTCCGTGTAAAGTCCGCGCGATCCCATATTTTCATTACCGTCTGGCCCGCGTTGAACGCAAACAAATTCAATTTTATTGCCGCGTTCGTTTAGCCGAGTTTTGCTCGTATTACGGGGCAATGTATATTTCGGAATGTCGTCGTTATCGCGACAGCTACGACCCTCGGAGTACGTATCCGCATCGGGCAGAGACGGACGCGGATTTATTTCACGTCGCCGCGACGAGACGCGCGAAGAGGGATTAAGAAAACGTGATGCTCGAAAATTTTCAAACGTGTTGAACGCGGCATGGAACGTGCGGTAACGAAAACCACGGGTTTGTATTTAAACAGCGCTGATATTGCTGCGGTCATTACGGGTTTAAAGTTGGTATTATCCGTACATGTCGACCTTGCGCTTTTCATCACGTACCGCGGGCTTCGGGGAAAGTCTTTGCAAATAAAGAGCGGGTTCGTGCTCGGCACTTTTTCGCGGGTCTCATTCTTAATCGTCCGGTCGCGCGTAAATTTCCTCCTAAAAGCAGCCTTTCCCCGTTACCAGGCCGGGCGCTGGCCGATCGTTCGGCGAATGAAAGCGAGCGACGGAATCCCCGTGGGACGTTGATTGGGGGAAATACACCGGGTTAGTTCAATCGTGCTTGAAATTACCACGAAAATCGGGCGAGGAAGAAAAAGTCCGGTAACAAGTTCCGTCTTCCTGGATTTCTTCGACTAAACTTTCGACTTTAAAGAATACGCTTCAGATTTTCTTTTTTTTATCTATTGTTACCGTATACACTTTGAGACTTCCCTTTCAACGGATTAATTACATTTCGACCTTGTAACTCCTTTGTGCAGCGCACTGTCGTCGACGTAATATTCTTGAAAGGATTGCACGCGCCGGTGGAGGTTGACCTCCATTGCGAGCGGAGTCGCAGGTTCTTTTAACGCTTCGCGACCGAAAATATTCCTCGTTCCGCGAAGAAACTTTCATTCTGGTCGAGCACTTAACAGGAATGTCCGCGTTACGTTTCTCTTTCTTCCGGGGACACTACGCCGCCGTGTAACGCGTACTCGGACGTCAGCGATTCCGTAATAGGCGCGTTAAGCCTTCTAATAGTCGTTACGGACGAGCCGCCGCCGAAAGTTCCGGAGCAAATTTTTATAAGAGCGTTTCCGCGCCAGATGGAAACGACGTATCGTATTTAGAGCCATCGTTCTTCGGCTCAATTTAAAGTGGAAGGCCGAGAGACTCGTTACCACCGGAACTTTATCGCTCAAGATTGAGATTGGCGGCGATTATAACTTAGCAATTTCCACTAGGGTCGCGGTGTACCGTTTCTCCTAATCAGATTTCTACGAAATTTCGAGCACGTGGAGCCTGATGGCAAATGGAACACGGGTCATCTTCCCCATTCTATGCTTCAAAATTGCTTCATTTCCTAAAAGACTGTGGAAGCACGCGGAATCGTCTCCGTTGCCCGAAGACACAAAACCCTGATCGTTGCTGGAATGGCACAAAGAACGCGGGACGCCTCTTACCGAATCGTTTTCGATGCTTGTTTCGTACCAGCCTCTTCCTCGAATGAATACTTACCAAATAGAAACGGAAACGAATTTACCTCGAAGTTTAGCAAAGCGACTTGCCCGTATGTCCGGCACATCGCTTTCGGGCATTATATTTTCCCTGTTATCTAACCGGGGAAACGAGGTACATCGAAGCCGAGAAAATTGGAATTTTGTTTGAAAGGAAGTTCGTGATAAAAGTAGACTTCTCCGGCCCCGTTCGAGTTCACTATTTTGTCTTTCATCCGACAAGTTAGGCCTCTTTCGCTTCAGAATGCCCGCCGTGAACGGGAATATGAGGGGATTAAGCCTGGATCTACTAAGCCCGCTGCTGAAGAAGAACCCATACCGAGTCTCCTCTCGGACACACGTGTACACACGTGCAATCATCCGATTCGTCGCATTGAAAAATCACAATTTCATCGGTTATTCTTATCAGCCTCGATTTTCTTTCCTCGAGCAATCCCCTTTAATCGGCGGAATTAAACGTTTTGCGATTGCCGCTCGGTAGTTTCATTTCCCATGCATTACGGCGACTGCGGCGAACGACAAACGATTTGTTCCCGTCGCCAGCAGGGTTACGTACCTCGCGTATATTTTCATTATACAGGGAAGAATAGGGGAATCGAGTTTGCTACTTGAAATCGATAAACTCACGTATCTTCGTCGGAAAGAAACTACGTCATTATCTTTTGTTGCGTCGTCGATCGTCGCGATAAGATAAGTGTTGAACAATCGTTGCGTTCGGTTCTGACGATCAATACTCGAATCCTCGACAGTCCGTATGCATTTTTCACGGTGTACCGCGATAAGCAAATTCGAATGTTTACCGTCGGAATAGTTAAGCACGACCGGAATTAAGCCGATTAATGATTCAATGTTACTAAGCG